GTGAATATTCTCTGTATGTACTCACTGTGATGTGAATAAACCCCTCTATGTACTCACTGTGATGTGAATGCCCCCTGTATGTACGTCGTGTGATGTGAATATCCCCTGTATGTACGTCGTGTGATGTGAATATTCCCCTGTATGTAGTCACTGTGATGTGAATACCCCTGTATGTAGTCACTGTGATGTGAATATTCCCTGTATGTACTCACTGTGATGTGAATATACCCATGTATGTACTCACTGTGATGTGAATATACCCCTGTATGTACTCACTGTGATGTGAATATACCCCTGTACGTACTCACTGTGATGTGAATATACCCCTGTATGTACTCGCTGTGATGTGAATACCCACTATATGTATTCACTGTGATGGGAATACCTCCTGTCTGTACGTCATGTGATGTGAATATTCCCCTGTATGCACTCACTGTGACGTGAATACTCTCTGTATGTGCTCACTGTGATGTGATGACTCTCTGTATGTACTCACTGTGATGTGAATACTCTCTGTATGTACTCAATTTGATGTGAATATCCTCTGTATGTACTCATTGTGATGTGAATACTCTCTGTATGTACTCACTGTGATGTGAATATTCTCTGTATGTACTCACTGTGATGTGAATACTCTCTGTATGTACTCACTGTGATGTGAATACACCTGTATGTACGTCGTGTGATGTGAATACTCTCTGTATGTACTCACTGTGATGTAAATACACCTGTATGTACTCACTGTGATGTAAATACACATGTATGTACTCACTGTAATGTAAATGCACCTGTATGTGCTCACTGTGATGTGAATACTCTCTGTATGTACTCACTGTGATGTAAATACACCTGTATGTACTCACTGTGATGTAAATACACCTGTATGGACTCACTGTGATGTGAATACTCTCTGTATGTACTCACTGTGATGTAAATATACCTCTATGTACTCACTGTGATGTGAATACTCTCTGTATGTACTCCCTGTGATGTAAATACACCTGTATGTACTCACTGTGATGTGAATACTCTCTGTATGTAATCACTGTGATGTAAATACATCTGTATGTACTCACTGTGATGTGAATACCTCCTGTCTGTACGTCATGTGATGTGAATATCCCCTGTATGTACTTGCCGTGATGTGAATACTCCCTGTATGTACGTACTATGATTTGAATATTCCCCTGTATGTACGTACTGTGATAGGAATATTCCCCTGTATGTACTCACTCTGATGTGAATACCCCCTGTTCGTATTCACTGCGATTTGAATACCCCATGTATGTACTCACTGTGACGTGAATGCTGCCCCCCCCCTTCGCCTTCCTGTATGTACTCATTGTTATGTGAATATCCTCTGTATGTATTCATAGGTTAAACGAAAATATTGTAATCCATTTGTACCGTGTTTTCCTTGTTTGAAATAACAGAATCAATGCGTCAGCTATCTTTATAAATCTATCCAATCATATAACATATATACACCCCAGCAAATTATTCACTGGAGCAAGTTTTTCCTCCATTTTCAGTTGTGGATTTGTAGTGAAGCCAGGATTTTTTCACACTTGCTGTCAGATGTATGTATATCTTTCTTAAAATTTAAACTTGTGAGGCTCCGGGCTAGAATTGGTCTTCAGCAATCCGTGCCTTGCCGTAAGAGGCGACTAACGGGAACGTGTGATGACAGATCAGTGTGTTCAGGCTCGTTGACTTGTTAGACACATGTCTTCGTATCCTAGTTGCGTATATTGATGTTCATACTGTTGATCACTGGATTGTCAGGTCAAGATTGGATATTTACAGACCGCCGCCATATAGCTGGAGCATTGCTGATTGCGGCGTTAAACAACAAACAAAACAAACATAAGTTTCATTTTAGTGTTTTCGCAGTATTTACAATTTTAACTAGATTTACTAAATACTCTTTTACTCTTGAGTCTGTTTATCTTCCTAACTGGAACAATAGATATTGGCTCATAAAGAGCCGGGTAAGAATTGATCTCCAGTAACCCATGCTTGTCGTAAGGGCGACTAACGGGATCGGGAGGTCAGGCTGCTGACTTGTTAACACATGTCATCGGTTCTAAATTGCGTAGATCGATGTTCATGTTGCTGATCACTGGATTGTCTGGTCCAAACAATAGTAGATATTGAGTGACATCTAGCAACTATTTATGTGGACATATCATAACAATGAAATGTCAGTACTGTGCTTAACAATACGTCGCTCGTCTTTCAATAGGCGTCGACATCTTCCCCTGTACCTTCATCAACGTTTGGTGGCAGGCGTCAATCCTCAATTCGCTACTGACAGTGTGAACTTGAACGTGAACTCGATTTGCCATCCCATGTAATAACATTTCATTCCCGGCACTGATTCTGTTTCCTCAACAAAATATATCTCCAATGCTCTGAAGCCTGGAAGACACTCAGTTGAGTTTCCATGCTTCCACGTTTGGCTGGCCCGACCCTGACTCGGATAACAGGCCGCCTGGCTGATGACAGAGGCCTAAAACAACATGCACTCGCCTCACTGTTCCACTCTCGGAACGTGGTAGACTCCTGCTATAAAGTTACTACAGTGTCTGCTACTCTGTGGCATTGCAACAAATGTACTCCGAGAACGGGGATGGAATCCCGGATGGGACTCAGCCTCAGATACTAGAATATGTACTTTACTGCAAAAGAGTAACCCCAGACATGATGTGTGATGCATGTGAACACTTTCTAAAAGGCATTGTGTATTCAGAGACACCGTTTGTCAAATTCTCCCTTATCAGGTGTAGGGGCAGTGATAAATGACAGCTAGGACTTTCCTACTACTCGTGAAATGTACACTGCACAATTATTTAGTTCAAAGGCGCCGTGTAACATGCGATGCAATTAGTAGCTGATAACGAGCTTGATATGCAGCCTTACTAGAGAAAAAGTAACGTTAGAAACACCAAACAGGTCCACGAGGAAGTAATTCTACCACCCTGCTACTGTTACAGTCATCGCTCGTACAGCCACAGATACAACTATATCAGTGAGTGAACGAGTAAGTGAGTGAGTTTAGTTTTACGCTGCACACAGCGCATATTCCATTTGTATGGCGGTGGTCTGTAAATAATCGATTCTGGACCAGACATTCCAGTGATCAACACCATGAGCATCGATCCGCGCAATTGGGAACCGATGACATGTGTCAACTAAGTCAGCGAGCCTGACCACCCGATCCCGTTAGTCGCCTCTTACGACAAGCATGGGTTACTGAAGATCAATATTCTAACCCGGAACTTTTCGTAAACAACCATATCAATACAGGCCGACATGTGCGTTGTATGACAAACATTAAAAACAACTAACGATAACCCGCTCCATCGCTACAACACAGCTGCTGCAACTTCTACAACTCAACTACCACTACAACCGTATATGAAAAACTTTATAATCCTGTCCCATCGTCTCTTCAAGTTTACTTTTAATGAAAACTGTGTCTCCTTAATTGTATATCAACACCAACGTTATATTTTATTTACAAAATTACATAAGCCGTCAACAGGTATTACATGTACAAGTGTGCACAGTCTGACTTTAACCGCCATAAAAACACGAAACATGACTGGCTTATCCAGCGCCTTTTCCGAGTACAGGAAGTTGAGCAATCCAACCCAGTTCCGCATCAAATGTCACCCGCTTGAAAATATTTGTGGTCTCATTCAATATAAGTCAGCGTGTTAAAAAGGACTAAATATTAAACAAAACATGGTCTGCTGTAATGATTGGGAAGATGAACATTAAAAGAATTACATATTTTTTCACAAAATCAGCCAATCACAGCTTCTGGATGATACAATCTACACTGAAGGCTACCAAAACTGCTTGGTAAACGACTGATTCTGATTTGGTGTAGTATAACCTATAATACACTCTAAGTCTGGCCGGTCCCCAGCCTGAAACACGTCATTGAGTAAATAAGTAAAGTAAAGTATTTCAGTGATCTAACACTATAAATCTGACACAAGTTGGACTAGTCCCCTTTCGCCGAAAACCCTTGTTCGACTCCCGGGGTACAATATTTGACACCCATTTCTGGTGTGCCCCGCCGTGATATTACTGAAATGAAATAACATAAAACCACTCACTCACTCACTCACTCACTCACTCACTCACTCACTCACTCACTCACTCACTCACTCACTCACTCCTCTCCTCACTCACTCCTCACTCACTCACTCACTCCTCACTCACTCACTCACTCACTCCACCTCACTCACTCACTCACTCACTCCTCACTCCTCACTCACTCACTCCACTCACTCACTCACTCACTCACTCACTCACTCACTCACTCCTCCTCACTCACTCACTCACTCACTCACTCACTCACTCACTCACTCACTCACTCACTCACTCACTCACTCACTCACTCACTCTACTGTACATTCATCCCGTGTTCGTGGTTGCAGATGTCAAACAGTCGCAGCCGAAGTTGTGGACACCAGCATCCTGCCATCTTTGTTTTCATCTGGATCACAACCGTCTACTGTAGGTTATATCCCTCAAGTATCATATATTCATGACCATAGATAATATTATTACTTTCATGGAAGTATAATATCATACATTTACAGGGCGCCTAATATCTATCGTCAAGTACCGTCTTTCCTGACTGTAATGAAGAGTAAGAGACTGACTACAGGCTTAGTTAAGGCAGACAATTGTTTAAAACATATACTCATGGCAATAATGGTTGTCACCCACTTCAATTGTTTTAATTGGAGAGGGTGTGGGGGTGATGTAATGAGGTATGGGGGTTGGGGAAGGAACCATGTGTGCGTGAACAACTCATTATTGGCATGAGTATATTTGATCAACATGAAAGGTCCACTGGATTGGGCAAAGGTTTTCAAACTTGGGACGTCTGTCCGTAAACATATATGCAGACAGAGGACAAATGTGTGATTGTTGAACACTGAAATAGAAAACATGGCCCAGGCTACAAATCAGTTAAGCAACGCTGGTTACGGAGATTCCTTGGATAGGTGACTGTGTTTGACAGCTTGGTTACTGAGAGTTTCTAGGACTTCACTCCTGTCCTACAAAAGACATGAAGCATGTCTCACCTTAGGCTAGTAAGTTCGTTCAAAATTTGCTCCGTTCACCTGCATTGAATGGGTACCCGGTGGTTTCAGATAGTCTAATGACTGTTAATCTTCTAGCTCCTCACATGCAGCTGCGTACAACTGAGTGTCACAAAGCGCATCTTGTAGGTGGATATTGGGAGCTCTCCAAATGTATTGATGTGCATGAGTAGTATGCAACAAACATGACAATCTAATCCCTTTGTTGACATGAGGTACTTTTCACACTTTTCAATATAAATAGATGTGCTATGAAATAATGAGCATGACTTATCGTCATAGAGAATTGCTTGGATCGAAAATCGACTTACAACTGATAACGTTTTGCTATGTAATGTAGTTCTAATGGCATTGTAACTGACACATACGAGAAACACCCATGAAGATCCGAAATAAAACTAGTCTTCGGCTATTCATGCTTGTCGTAAAAGGCGAGTAACGGGATCGGTTGGCCAGGCTCGCTGACATGGTTGAAAAGTGTCATCGTGTCCTAATTGCGTAGATCGATGTTCATGCTGTTCATCACTGGATTGTCCTGTCCAGACTCGACTATCTACCGACCGCCGCCATATAGCTGTTTTTATAGCTTAATAACATACAAAACATACAAGACGTTGGTGATTTTCACATGGATTTCAACAAGGGCAAGTTACGTATTCTGACATGTTGAAGTTTGATAGACAATGCACATGGTAATTGGAACGTGTTATCTAACCTGGGTAAAACCAAAATCAGCTAATCATTTCAGTTATTTAATATTTCGTCAATATAATATTTTGTGACTATTTTGGATATCATTTCACACAGGTACATCCAAGTTTCACTGCCCACAAATGGTTGAAATTGGCTCATCAGTGAATCTGACTTGTTATGTAGACCCTACGTCAGGGGCCCACTCCTATACAACACCTGGTGGGACGACTGCCGCTACGTGTGATCTGTCGGACGGATATTGTATAATACCTGGTACCTTCACACCGTCAGTCATCAACACAACAACAAGTGTCCTCACTATACCTAAGACACTAAAGACACATGGGGGTGTCTGGAAATGTGTGGATGACGCGGATGATCGACACCCCGAGACTTGTCTTATGTCTGTTTTTGGTAAGTATGAAACCTGTGAAGATCCGAGTTAGAATTGATCTTCAGAGGCGATTAATGGATCGGGTGGTCAGGCTCGCTGACTTGGCTGACACATGTCATTGTATCACAATTGCGTAGATCGATGCCAATGCCGTTGGTAACTGGATTGTCTGGTCCAGACTCGATTATTTACAGACCACTGCCATATAGCTGGAATATTGCTGAGTGCGGCGTTAAACAACAAACAAAAAGTAAGTCTGAACAACTGAACATGAACCAACTTGGCGTCTCAGTTGAACCATGATCTTAGTCGACACTCAATATGATCCTAGTGTAAGGCAAATACAATGCTTAATTGAACATTAAGTCAACGAGTCTTACTTGTGAATAAGCAAAATCACAAGTACCAGCAAATCCTGATCTCATACAAAAAACCGCTTAATTACGAATGAGAAATAGTTTATTTAACTGTAGGTTTGTTACGTCCCAAATATATGAATGATGTAAAGTTGAGGATGCATAAAGAAGATGCACAATTAATCCGTAATTGTTTCATTATGAAGATTTTATATACTTAAGGCTTTGCCACAATCCTTGAATATGTGCATCCTGATATCATAATGTATCTGCTCCAGATTTTACCACCATTCGTGATATGCATCCTGTTTTCAGAGAGGCAATGGCTTATCTCCTTCAGGCTTTGCAACCTTTCTTGATTATGTGCACCCTGATTTCAGAGAGGCAATGGTGTATCTCCTTCAGGTTCTGCCACCATTCGTGATGTGCATCCTGATTTCAGTGATGCAATGGTGTATCTCCTTCAGGTTCTGCCACCATTCGTGATGTGCATCCTGATTTCAGTGATGCAATGGTGTATCTCCTTCAGGTTCTGCCACGATTCTCGATTATGTGCATCCTGATTTCAGTGATGCAATGGTGTATCTCATTCAGGTTCTGCCACCATTCGTGATGTGCATCCTGATTTCAGTGATGCAATGGTGTATCTCCTTCAGGTTCTGCCACCATTCGTGATGTGCATCCTGATTTCAGTGATGCAATGGTGTATCTCCTTCAGGTTCTGCCACGATTCTTGATTATGTGCATCCTGATTTCAGGTCTACCAATGTGTGAAATAACCAGTGACCAGAACATCAGCTCACTCAGTGAGGGTGCCAGGCTCACATTATCAGTCAATCTTACAAGGAGTTTCTGTTCTGGGCCTTCTCTGATTAGGTTGATGACTGGAAGTGTCAACACCACTCTCATCAATGGTACAGGTACAGATACCACACCTGAGGTACTGACCAAAGAGTTCACTGTAACAAGCTTCCACTTCGGGGACGTCCGAGTGATGTACACTTGTCATAGTGACAGTTGGAACGTGTCATGTCAGGGTGTAAAACAGCTGGTTGAAGGTAAGCACAAATCTGATCACAGGAGAGCATCAATAGGTGTCTGTATCAATAATTAATGATAATATGTGTATGTATATCTCGCTGAATTCCATACGTGCATGTAATGTATGCTCAAAGCGCTACAATATCAAGAACATACAAATGATTAAAGACAGTTTTCAGTGCACAAATGAATAAGTGACTGAAGATTCACGTTAGACTTTGTGATATTTTGTAAAAAGGAACGTTTCATAGACTTTTTCATCAGAGGGAAAATGTCTCAGCTCAAATAGCAGGTGATTCTAGAGTTTTTGAGCTGATAGCTTAATGGTCGGGGACCACAGAATTTGCGTTTTCGACGTTGAATTGTCAATAAGTATTTATCTGTAGACCTTAGAGCTCTTGATGGGTTGTGTGCATCTCTGGTGTTTTTGTACTTTTGTCTTCATGTATTCTTTTAATTTGGTATCATGCACTTCGCGTGGTTTACATAGTGCATTTGGTATGCTTTTAAATGTATCACTATATCTTGAAATGGGTATTTTCAAAACGACTTTTTCAAATATATCGGTGATGATGCGCGGAAAGACAAGATTCTGCATCTCGGATATCATTGTCGTATTTCATCATTTTGTTTACATAGTGCATTGTGTATGCTTACATGTGTATCACTACATCTCGACATTTTCCAGCAACGTATACATTTATATCGATGCCACGATCATCATGCCAACATCATCATGCTATTGAATCCACCATGAGTAAAGAGTCATTGCTCTTGAAAGAACCGTGTTTCCTATTCCTGTGCTGCAGGTTCAATGTCTGGCGCCACGACATCTTCCACAGCATCTGACACGTCCACAGCTCCTCCTTCATCAGATGGACCTGGCAAAAAAGCATTTGACTCGTCCACAGCTCCTCCTTCATCAGATGGACCTGGCAAAAAGACATCTCACTTGTATTGGATTATATTTCCCATTGCTGTCATCATCATCATCATCATCATCATAGCTGCGATATACAGGACACGCAACAGACCAACACATCAGATGGTTTCAACATCCGTCGACAGACGTGACGATGGACATGAAATGGACGTAATTTGACAAGGTCTTGTTTTTGGCACATCGACCAGACGTTGTAATTAAGCACCTCACAACATCTTATTTCACGCTGATAGTCTGATATTTTAAGTAGGGGTGGGTATTGCAGTTCCCACTGTTGTAACCATCATAGTTGTGATATTCATGTACAAGAAACACAGAAGGTCAACACCAAACAATAACGAGGAACTTTGATCAGACCTTGCTTTTGGCACATCGACCAGACGTTGTAGTTAAGCACCTCACAGCCTCTTATTTCTAGCTAATGGTCAATCATTTCAATATATATTGTGTGTTCACTAACTCACTGTAAGGTGTCATGTACCAATGGATATGAATTCCTGTGTTTAGTCATGAGAGTTTCACTACTGGTATAGAGTGGTTGACTCATGAAATTCCCTTTATGTCTGATAATTAACAGTTTAGTTAAGTGGTATGAATAGTCCAGTTATGTAACATTGAGAGGGAAGTCTAACCCACGATTCTATGGGGTAAATGAATGAACACTCGAATAGCATAATTATATCAAAATGTGGCTTGTTTTGATATATTGTTTGTTTCATCAACTTTATAAATAAACGAGCCAGGATTGTGTTATCCCATTTGACAAAGCACATTAAACTTTCACACATTAGAGAAAGATGAACTGTGTAACTATTTTAATAAAGGTGCCATAGGGTAGCTTAGTGGTCAAAGCCTTCACTCGTCACGCTTAATACCCGGGTTCGATTCCTCACATAGATACAATATGGGAAGTCTTGTTCTGGTGTTCCCCGCAATGATATTACTAGAGTAATGCTATAAGTAAACGATCACCTACTCCCTCACTCACTCCCTTACCCACTCCCTCACTCACGATACCTTTGTAGTGATGTGGTTATACGTCACTGTGGCTACCTGCTTGCAAGATAGACTCGCTGACTTGGTATCTTGGATTTTCCGTATCCCAATGTCGTAGATAGCTCTTCATAACGTTGATCACTGGATTGTCAGGTCCAGATTCGATTTTTAATACAGGCCAGGCATACAATAGAAATATAGCAGGAAGTATGTAGCATTAAACAACAAACACACAGGATGAACCATTACGATCTATTTACCGCCGTTGATAATACATGTATAAACATTCATTGTAACAAGTTGTTTCGTTCCTTTCATTGTCTGCTTTGTTGGGATTCGTTGGTATTCCGTTGTATCATGTCGCTGGATGCATTATGCAATAAACTGACTCATAACTTCCCAGTCATGTGATGTTTTTATGTGTCTACGTGTCTACCACTAACACAGACTTGATTATGCCGTAATATGGAAGCGTATTATTCAGTCTAAAATATTACAATCTACGTACATGATACTTATATCTACTTTCATCTCTGCAGATCATACCTCCATTTACAGAAATATTACTTTTAACTATGCATATCATACCTATATGCGGAAATGTTACTTTCATCTCTGCAGATCATACCTATATACGGAAATGCTACTTTCATCTCTGCAGATCATACCTATATACGGAAATGTTACTTTCATCTGTGCAGACCATACCTCCATCTACAGAGGTGTTACATTCACCTCTGCAGATCATACCTATATACGGAAATGTTACTTTCATCTCTGCCGATCATACCTTCATCTACAGAGATGTTTCCTCCATCCCCTGCAGATCATACCTTCATCTACAGAGATGTTTCCTCCATCTCTGCAGATCATACCTTCATGCACGGGATGATACCTTAACCCATGGAGAGGGATATGTTTCACCGATTTACACACGGCTATATCATTCATGGAGATGCAAGGAGATCAAAGTATCATCTTCGTGGACAGTATCGCTAATAGGTATTCATACCGTACTTACATGTATACAAGATTGTACATTATACATTACTTCAACATAATCCAAAACCAACCTATTACAAGACGAACAAAGACAGAAGGCTCTGCTCCTACACAGCAATGTGTTATATAATGTCATGTGAACATATTTGAACCTTTTGTAAACTATTCCCTCAAACTCACAATCAAAATCAAATCCTAAGCACAGCACATATGTTTCCTGGTATATGACAGAGACTTCCGTGTCACGAGATATCAGTGGATGTGATATTTATAGATGAAAGTGGTGGAATTTACAAATGAATGATGTGCACGTGGTCACATGAACATGACACATAATCAGCTGCAGTCACGATGACCCTGCTACGATCACAAACTAAATAGCTATACTGACTCGACATAGCGATTAACAGGATGTAAGTTAAGAACACTCTCATGGTCTAATGATTATGAAGTACTCCGAATAATTCATATTCGTTCGATAATCTCAATGATGTGATGTAAATCCAAATGTAATTCAACTCTCAAAATTCATGATTCAAAATCGATGGAATTTTTCAAAAGAAATATAAGCCTTCCTTCAGTAGTGTTTGTTATAGCCATCTATCGTTTTACAAATCTATTAAAAACCTTTTACGGTAAGGCGTAACGCAAATACCGTAACTACTGGCAATAGTGCAAGAATGCTGTATTTACAGATATGACAGTCATGCACGAATACTTGCGAACACCTCGAAAACATCTCGAAAATAATGGAATTAGTGCAAGAATGTTGTATTGAAATATATGACAGTCATGCACGAATACTTGCGAACACCTCGAAAACATACCGAAAATAATTACCTTAGTGCAAGAATACGGTTTTATGCTGGAATATTGTACTGAGGACGCTCATAAAATTGTAACATTGTTCTACCTGTACCGAGATAGATAACACTTAACTATCAGACAGACGCGGACGCTGGTGCAAGGACTGCAAGTTCCATGTGCTTCAACAGTTAAACAACTCGGTGCTTTAAAGGCAACTACCAACACCACTCGCACCCCCAAAAAAAAAAAAGAAAGTGGGTGACAATAACTGCAAGTCCCAATCATCTCTAGAAACCTTCAGCCTTGAAGTACAGCTTCTCATGTTAGCGACGAGGACACTTTCAATGATGACCACGTATGTGTATTGTGAACGTCTGTTCACGTTCACGTTCACGTTCAGTCAATGTTCAGTGTGATTCCAAAGGGGTTAAAGTTAGGACC